GGGAGATGGGCGGACAATAAATCGAATGTAATAAATAAATAAATAAATAAATAAATAAATACAAAATATGGAATTCAGCCCATTTGGTCAGTCTTGTTAATTTAGTTGAATCATATGAAATCACAAAGATGGTGATTTTATGCCAGGGATCACTAGGATTGGAGGCGGGTGCTAAAGTAAAAATGGAGCAGAGAAGGTATGGGATATGAACAAGAGTAGTGCCATTCTCCTCTTCTTTCTCCTCAACATTTTTCTGAAGAATCTGATCTTTGGAAAAGTTGGATGGAAAAGTGAAAATATGCCCTCTAAAGTGCTTTAATATGATACTGTCTTCTAATCAGTAAAAGTCTTCAGAAAAAAAGGGCCTGGTAGTTCCTTAACTGACTGCCTTTTGGAAAGGTTGGATGGAAAAGTATTTAATACAAAAAGCCTGGATCTATGTGGACTTGAGACAGACGAAAGGAATACTAGGGAACGGGACCCCTTCTTTCCCCCAACAGCCAACCAGATGCCTATAGGAAGACTGCAAGTATTGTACGCTTTTACTCATGGCCTTCGCCAACAGTAATTGGGACTTGGATTGGAAGGCTTCTGCTGCTGAGCTGTCTGGAGTTTCTTTGTGGCCACTGAGCATCATATTGTTCATGAATTGGTCTAATCTTTATACAACACATTGTTTTGGGGGCGGGCAAATTCTATGTTGGGTGAGAAGTCCTTCTGTTTATGTATCCTGAACTTCTCATCACACAGTTTCACTGAATGATGGGGAAGATACACTCTAAGAAATATATTTCTAAGGAAAAAAATAGGACTCATGAATAGACTGAAATAAAGTATAAGCCTTGTACGTTTTTACTAGTTGCAAAGTTCCATATTAATTTAATCAGAAATTGTCTTTCTCTCTTTTCTGGGCATCAGTCTTCTTATGAAGAATAATATGCATTCAGAACTAACATTAAAAAGATAGAGAAATCATTCCAGTCAAAATTATTAAAAATGTTCTCATTCATTTTAATAGAATAATAATATATTTTTCTTCACCCTGGTGCCCTTCTGGATGTGTTGAATTCCAGATCCAATACATCCAAGCCTGCATAGCAATAGATTAGATAAGCCTAGCTGAGTATGTGCTTGACTTTTCTATTGAAATAATGTGGAAATAGCTATTGTTAATATTGCAAAAGTGATAATCATGCCCCCCAAAATCATCTGGGTAAAATACCAGGGTTATGACACAATCATATGATTGCACACAATTAATATTTGATAATCCTCAAAAGAATATTAGAGAACACATGAGCCAAGCTTAAAAAAATGTGTACAAATATACTGGTTTTCACTGATATTCTTCTTTAGAAACAACCATCATGAAACAAAGCCATTTATTGCCAAGTGATTTTCTCAGGGCATTTATCAGCTCCTTGATACTCCAAATCGCATAAATCCTAAACAGTATTACCCAAGTTCAGTGATTCTCAACCTTTTTGAAGCTGCCGCCCCCCTAAGGAGTGGAAAATTTTTCAACGCCACCCTTTGT